TTTTTAAAGTTGCAAGTATAGTACATGTATTCTTTACCCAGATTTACCTATTATTTACATTTTGCTTAATTGATGTATATTAGTAACTGTCTTTTTATGTACATATGTAATTTTATTTTTTGAGTTGGAGTCTCAGTCTGTTACCCAGGCTGGAGTGCAGTGGCACATTTACGACTCACCTCCTGGGCTCAGTGATCATTCTCCCTCTGCCTTTTTAGTAGCTGGGACTACAGGCATTTACCACCATGCCCTACTAATTTTTTTTTTTAATTCATTATTTTTAAAAATATGGAACACTTCATGAATTTATGTTGCTTCCTTGCACAGGGCCCATGCTATACTTCTCTGTATCATTCCAATTTTAGAATATGTGCTGCTGAAGGAAATGCCCAGCTAATTTTTTGTAGAGACAAGGTTTAGCTATGTTGTCCAGGCTGGATGTGAACTCCTGAGCTCAACCAATCCTTCGCCTTGGCCTCCCAAATTGCTGGGATTACAGTGTGAACCACCACACTCAGCCTGTAATTCTTTTTGTTCTAAAACATTTTAGAGTGAATTGAAGACATTGCATCCCTCAAGACCCAGATACTGTAGTGTATATTTCCTGAGAACAATGATTTTCTTTTCTGTAACCAGTTATCAAAATCAGAAAATTTACTGTGAATCTAAGGCTGTTACCTAATCTACTGTCCATATTCAGACTCTGTCAATGATGTTCTTTATAGCTACTTTTTCTCCTGGATCAAATACAAGATCTAATCCTCTAGCATTTAATTCAAGATCACACGTTACGTTTAGTTGCCAAATCTGTTTAGTATCCTTTAATCTGGAAAAGTTCCTCAGTCTGGTTTTTCTTGACTTTCAGATTTTTGAAGAGCACAAATCAGTTAATGTGTAAAAATGTCTCCCAATTTTGATGTATCTGATATTTCTTCATGATAGATTGGAAATATGATTTTTGGTGAGAGAACCACAGAACTGGTATTGTGTCCTTTATATCAGGAGACACTTGAATCAGTTGGGTTTAACTCCATATTTGATGATTGATTTGACTGTTTGGTTAAGATGGTGTTGGGTTTCTCCTGTAGTGTTAATTATTTTTCTCTTTGTAATTAACATGTAATCTGTAGTGATACTTTGAGACTATTTAAGTATCTTATTATCAGACTTTCACTTGCCAATGTAAGTATCCATTGATGACTTTCTAACTCATCATTCTCCTTTTGTTAGTTGTATTCTACTGTAAGGAAAAGATTTTCTCTTTCCTTCATTTATCTTGTTTATATCTGAGTGAACTGATTTATTCTTTTATTTAACTCACTTTATTCAGTGAGTTATGATTCATTATTATATGATGGGCTTTTTAACCTAATTTTGGCTTCTTGCAGTGTGAGTTTTGGTCATGTAGAATTTCTCTGCTTTCAGTCCTCTCAGTTTTGGGCAGGCCATCTTACTTTCCTTTGTTACAAATCTCTTATAAAGTTTCCCCCATTATAAAAAACCCTCCCAGACTAAAGTTTAACCTAATTTCCTTATAGGCTTGGTGTACTCCTGTATTAGCCACTTGTTTCCCTCTGTTATTGTTTATGTACTATTATAGGTAACATATTCTCATGTCTGTATGATCATGTGTGTATTCATGTGTGTTGCATTAATGCACATATTACAGATTAAGGGACCTTGCTTTATGGTTCTAAAATAGATCGTGTTAGGAATTAGAAGTTTCTCTGTCGGCCAGGTGTGGTGGCTTATGCTTATAATCCCAGCACTTTGGGAAGCTGAGGAGAGAGGATTGCCTGAGCCCGTGGGTTCGAGACCAGCCTGGGCAACTTGACAAGACCTCATCTCTAAATTAAATTAAAAAAACTTAGTCAGGCATGATGGCGCATGCCTGTAGTTCCAGCTACTCGGAAGGCTGAAGAATAAGAATCGCCTGAACCCAGCGGGTCGAGGCTGTGGTGGCCATGAGCATGCCACTGCCCTCCAGCTTGGGCAACAGAGTGAGACTCCAGCTCAAAAAAAAAAAGTTTCTCGGTCTACCAACAACAAATTTGTAAACAAAGTTAGCTATCTCAGGAATCCAAAATTTTAATTTGATTACCTTTGAATTTAACCAAAAAAGCTTTACTTTCCTTAGCAAAAAATGAGAAACGTGATCATTTTCCTTCTTCCTCCGGATTTAGATAGGAACCCGTATTTTAATTTCAGGAAAGAACAACCCATCAGAAGTAGGATCTCTATAAAAATCAAGAGCTCAGCTATTCAGCAGATATCTAGTAAGGGTCTGTTATATGCCAGGCTCTGGCGTGGGCAGTGGCCATACAGTAGGAATCAAGCAGAGTCCCTGCCCTCAAGAAACTAGAATTCTTGTGGGACAGATGGCAAACAAATAAATGTGTATTTAGCTGGTGCTAAATACAGTGGGAAAAAGTAATAAAGTAAGTGATATATTGGCCAGAGACAGTATGGTTAAGAAAGAACAGTTCTGGTCAGGCGTGGTGGCTCACTCCTATAATCCCAGCACTTTGGAAGGCCAAGGCTAGAGGATTGCCTGAGTCCAGGGGTTTGAGACCAGCCTGGGCAACTTGGTGAGTCCTCATCTCTATAATAAAAAAAATTAAGTCTGGGATGGCGGCGCATGCCTGTGGTTCCACCTACTTGGAACACTGAAGGGGAAGAATCACCTGAGTCCAGCAGGTCGAGGCTGTGGTGGCCATGAGCATGCCACTGCATTCTAGCCTGGGTGACAGAGTGAGACTCCAAAAGAACAGTTCTGTAGGAAGAAAGAGCAGCAAAAAAGTGGACAATGCTTGGTAGGCCTGAGGATTGAGCGAGGGGGCACTGCTGCCTTGAGAGATCAAGATGAAGAGTCAGCAAAGCAGACCTCCTTGGTGAGGTAGGAGAATAAAGAGGTGCCTGCATGACACGTTTGAAGAAGCTATGTCCAGAAGGAGGTAGTCACTAAGTCAGATTGTGCTGGTGGGTTCAGTACAATGAGGACAGAGAACTGCTGGATTTGAGAGACCTTGACATACTCTTGCTGTAGAGTGGTGGGAACAGAATCCTCACTGGAATAGGTTTAGAGAAAATATACTGCGTCCAGATAACTCAAGTATTTTGCTTTAAAGGGGAGCAGAAAAAGGGAATGCGATCTAAAACGGAGCATGGGACCAAGGGAGGGTTGTTTTGAAGATGGAGGTGTCAGTGTATGTGAGCGGGCTGATGGGAAATGACTGTTGATGCAGGAGAGGGGGTAGCAGGAGCAGTATCGTGCGCACCAGAGCAGAGTCGTGATGGACTGTGCAAAGGGAGAGACCTGTTAGGTGAGGAACAACACAGCCGATGTAAGAGGGAAGGCAGAGTGTGTCATAGTCAGGCATAGTCACACAGAGAAGCAGGTAAAACCAGTGGGCCACCAGAACATCAGCTTCCTTTTCCTGCTCTTGCTTTGCTTTCTTTTGTTTTTTTCAGTCGGAGTCTCACTTTGTCGCCCAGGCTGGAGTGTGGTGCAGGATCATGGCTCGCCACAACCTCAACCTTCTGGGCACAGGTGATCCTCCAGGCTCAGTCTCCTGAGTAACTGGGACTACAGGTGTGCGCCACCATGCCTGGCTCATCTTTGGGTTTTTTGTAGAGGTTTTGCTATGTTGTTGCCCAGGCTGGTCTCAAATCTCTGGGCTCAAGCAGTTCTCCCACCTTGGTTTCCCAAAGTGCTGGGTTTACAGACCTGAACCACCACGCCCGGCCTCCCAGCTTCTGCTTTGATTTCTCTCCTTGCTTCTGGCATCTGGATTTCCATTTCTTTGACCATCTCGTTTTTTAAAAAAATACCTTAACATTTCTGTGGTCTGTGGGAAGGGGGTGTTGTTCTTCAACTAGTCCAGTGTGCCCTGTTCCTAGAAATCAGAAATTAGGAAAGCATGTGAGAAGCCTTTGTACTAGAGGGAAAAAAATTATACATGGAAAGCTTTTAGTATCATAATTGAAAGTGTCAGTTTCATACTAAATGGTAACTGTATTTGAATGTTTAGAAGAATTTCCTAGCCTTTTAATTAAGTCTCCTTAGTTAAGAAGTAAGTTAAAAGGCAGAAGGACTCATCTGGGTAGGTAAGCATACATCTGGGGAGAGGTTAGATTTATTTTTTAGAACAAAAATAATATGTATCATGTTCCTGATTGTAAGGAATCCGGAATATTATTTTTTATAAAATATTAAAAGTTATAAAAGTATATAAAAGTGGAGTCAGCTCTTCCCCAACCTGTCCCCAATCCATCCGACCTTTCAGTTAATAGTTTGTAATAGTACTTTCCAGAATTTTCTATGTATAATCAGTGTTTGCTCCCAACTTCACTGTTTGATCTGTTTTCGACAGAGAACTAAATAAGAACTGCCTGCTGGCAACAGTGATTTCCAGATCTCATCTAACTTGCAAGTATTTTAAATTCAGAGGCTGTATAAATGCATATAATTTAAATTGTGCAGATTAGAATGGCCTGTCTCAGAAGGACAGGACATAAGACTGACCTTTGTTTCTGAATTAAATGTTCTTTGATTCTGACATAATGAAATGCCAATTTTAGCTTTTGACTCGTGGGTTTTCATGATCACTGAACAGTGAGCATAGTGCAGTTTTAAAGACTACTTAATAATGAAATAGGGATTTTTTTTTTTTTTTTTTGAGTGAGTCTCACTCTGTCGTCCAAGATGGAGTGCAGTGGCATGCTCATGGCCACCGCAGCCTGGACTTGCTGGGCTTAGGTGATCCTTCTGCCTTAGCCTTCCAAGTAGCTGGAACTACAGATGCATGCCACCACGCCCGGCTAACCAGGCTAATTTTTGTAGAGAAGAGGTCTCACCAAGTCGCCCAGGCTGATCTCGAACCCCCGAACTCAGACAATCCTCTTACCTCGGCCTCCCAAAGTGCTAGGATTACAGGCTGAGCCACCGTGCCCAGCCAAAATAGGGATTTCTACTAAGCACATTTTTTGGTATTTTATAGGAGAATGAGGTATTAAGAGAAAAGTGTGAAGCTGTGGATCACAGTTCTCAGCATGAGGAGAATGAAGAAAAGGTGTCATCCCAGAAGGAGAACTCGCTGGAGCAGAAAAATGAAGATAAAAACAAAGTAGCAGAGAAACCTGACAGGGAGGCGGAAAAGACCCCTGAATTTGGAAGTGAGGTAAGCATGTCAGAATACTCCAGCCTTGCCATGTTGGCTTTAGTGTAGATTTCGTAGCACTGACAATTTGTTGAGAATGAACTATTGGTATGCTCTACTGTGAGCAAGTCTCATGTGTGAAAATACATATATTTTTTAACTGTAGGGGTTGTCATTTGATTTATAAATGAGTCAGCACATAGAATTGTTTTCTCTGGTTAAACTCAAGATTTTGTGTGCATATAGACACACATCCCTCCAGGAACTTGCCTTCAGTTTTTGCTAGTTGTGTTTGCCAGGGCAAGAGATGAAGAGTTGCCTGGCCTGCTGAGCCTAGTAGTCCTGAACAGACAGCCATGCTGGCAAGGTCAGGGAGAGCAAGTCAGAGGACCGGCCCTAGAGACAGGTCCCCCTCGATTCCAGCTAAGGCTTGGACTCTTGTGCTTGTTCAGTCTCCCAGCATGCCAGGCTGAACTAGACTGATCATCAAGGAACTCATTTTGTGCCTCCTGCTTAGACCAAGGGCCAGGCCCAGGGGGAGTACCTCCTGGGCTCCTCATCTCTAGCTGTGAGAAGTATGGAAAGATGGACTCCGGGAACCAGGCATCCCCTTTCACATGGGCCTTATGCTGAGCTCTACTCATCCCTGCTGAGGTCCTGCCTACAAGCCTGGCAAACAGGTGCCCCCAGAGGCGAGCTTGGAGGTTCCATCGGGCTTTAATCATGTGGCACTCCACCTAGAAGGGCAGCCTTGACTTGCCTGCATGGTTCTTTTGCTGTGACGTGCTTTGGCATGTCCCCTCCCCTACAGGTGAAGTTTGGGGCTGTGCCTTGAACACCCTTGGAGGATGGAGGGCACCATGCCCTAGTCTTCCTCCTGAGACAGCTGCCGTCACGGCAGCCTTGATCATGTAATATGACATCAAACATTACTTCACTTTATGGAGTGAAATCAGAAAACAGCTTTGTTCTCTTTGCCTACTCAGCACTCCTTTGGCCCCTCTGACCTGTTCTAGCTTGTTCTAGGGGAACGAGTTCTTCTCTACACCTTGGGTGGGATCTAGGGCAGGCCCCAAAACTTCTAGATACTCAGATAAAACTCCCTCTGAGCCAGGCTCGGTGGTTCAGCCTGTAATCCCACGCCTTGGGAGGCTGAGGTGAGTGGATTGCCTGAGCCCGCGGGTTCGAGACCCGCCTGGGCAGCGAGACCTCATCTTTACAATAAATCAAAAAATCAGCTGGGCATGGTAGCACATGCCTATAATTCCAGCTACTCGAAAGACTGAGGCGGAAGGATCACTGGAGCCCAGCAGGTTGAGGCTGCGGTGGCCGGGAGCGGCCCACTGCACTCCAGTCTGGGCAACAGAGTGAGACTCAAACAAAACAAAACAAAACAAAAAAACTCCCTCTGGTCAGCCCAGTGCAGCAATTGATAGGGATAATCCAGCATCATTCTCAAAAGCTCTTAATTAAAACTCAGCTTCCCTTCCATTTCATCTGCATGTGGCCTGCTCCTCTATCTCCCCAATTAACCTCCCCACTGGGCTGCTTTCTTTGGGAGTTGGAGGCTATGGGGTGCTGAGAACTCTAAAAGGTGTTACTTGACTGGTACCAACATGACATTATTTCCATTTAAATAAATTGCTGGATGGATACTTTCATTTCATAGGCTCTTTGGAGGCCTCTGGGCCACTGCTGGGAGTTGTTCACTGCCCTTAGTTGTTCACCTGAATATTCAGGACTTCTCCTGAATATTTGGCAGTATGGGTCTCACCCTTTCCCCACCAGGTAGCTCTCGGGCTGTCGAGCCCCTGGCCCTGGCAGCAGTCTTGGACTCTCCTCATCTGTCAGTCACTTCCTCACTATGGCCCTTGCCTGGTCTCTTGCTCTTCACAGTTCTCTAGGCCACTGTGTCTCCAAACTGCAGGGGACACACACCAGGTTCTAAGTGGCCTCCCTGAGACACTTTTTGCTATCATCAGGTGAGGAGTAGTGGCAGAGACTCACCTAAGGAACCTCTGCTTTCATTTCCTCACCTCTGCAACTCCATTTATAACCCTCCAGTAGCCTAGCACTTCCCTTTAAAATGCAGAAGTGGTGGGCACCTGTTTTTTCCCAGTGGGTATTTCTCCCCAACCTCCCACTTACCTAGGCTTTCTGTTTTCTCATAATCCATGCAGCCTTCCTGTGACTCTTACCCGCCCCATGTACCATATTGTCAAATCAATGCCTATGGACTTCTATAAAATACTGAAAGAACCCTATTTACTACTTTGAAGGGACATTTCAGCCTACCTTCCTGAGTGCCTCACAGTCATCTTGTTCGAGGGGAAAAATACAGTCTGTTTCACTTATTGGACACTTAACTGTATACTGCCTTATCCTCATGGCTGATTTTTCTCCTTCACTGGGCTATCTTTGAATTAACTGTACTGGGTCACTGCTGGACACATGAGAGGATCTTATTAAATATTAAGGAGATGAAGTAGGAAGCTTCCTTGGAGAAAACTTAAAATAAAATTTGATGTAGGAAAAACATCAATTTAGACACAGCTTTTCAGAAACACATGAATCGCTCATAGCAAGGCATCCACGCCTTAGTTCTGATCGGGCTCCACTCCCCATTGTGGACCCCCATGTTCCTTGCCTATATCCATTTTTTTTTTGAGTTGGAGTCTCACTCTGTCACCCAGACTGGAGTGCAGTGGCCGCTCCCGGCCACCGCAGCCTTGACCTGTTGGGC